TTTGAGTAATTTATTTTGAATCACATGAAAGACTCCTTAGTAAAAGTACCATTTTAAAGTAAATAAATATTTAAAAAATAACATGATTTAAGAGCATTGAATTATAGAAAATTAGTAATAATCTCACTGCTTATTTTCTAATTGGTAAAATAAGCCAATAATTGAAAGGCGATTTTCGATATCTGCGTATGTGTTAATTATCTAATGAGCAGTTGTTAAGTTGGTGTAACCACTTAGTATCACAATTTTATCAACTGACAACAAGACATGACTAGACAAATTGTTGTACAATCTATTATTACAAATAAACTAATAGTTTGTCACTTCTATTCTAGAAAAGAAAATTGCATCATTAGGTTATCAGATCTGATCAACTTCTCACTATTGACGAGGCAAAAGAACATTACTTATGGTTCTCTACAACAGTCATATACAAATGTTTTCTTTACCACATCAGCAGTGAGAAGTTTTTATCATGTCTACTAGAAGCAAGAGATCAATTCTAATTAGGTTATTTACAGTTCAATATTTATATGTAGAAAAACTCATCTCTCATGATATATATAAGTTCAATTCTTAGTAAATAAACAATTTAAAAAAATTATTAGTGAAAGTTGAAAATAAATTAGTTAATTTTTTTTTTTTAAAGTAAGTTGTACAAACCATTTGGGAGGAAAAAAGTGACTTAAAAGTAACTTATTTTCTTCATGTTTATTCAACCTTCCCCACTTGAATACTTGATAAAATTAATTAATTTCAATATATTAAGGTTCTCTGGTTATAACTTATAATTAAGAAGCTTAAAGAAAACACAAATTATTTCAGTGTCTTGCCCGTCACTTACAAGCCAGCACAAGCCGCTTATTTTGACCAATACTAGAAACGGATTAGTTACCAAACATATATACTAAAATGAATAAAATCTAGCAAGTTGCATGCAATGATAGTGTAGCCATGTGAATAAATGTGTGTCAAGAACATTCTTATATTTAGAAATATTAATTAATTCAATATAATTGAAATTTAATATTATTTATATATAGGTATAGGTTACCTACCATCCAAGTTTTATTATTTGATTAATGGGTACTTTTTACGTTTTTTCTACGTCTTGGGTTCAAAATTAACGTTTGACTAATTTTAGACGTTAAATCTAAGCGGAGGTTTTTGTGATAATTTTTGTTGGAATGCGCTTGATGCCCGGGCCGAGTAATTAGCGTTATACTTTGACGAAGGCATAGAAAATTCCAAGATTTTGAGTTACACGGTGAAAATTTGATGGAATTACTATATATAATTATCACGATCACTGCTTCATGGGATAGACGAGTTATATATAGTGGAATCTTCATGTATCCAACATAAACTTTGGTGAGTTTTTTCAAGGGTTGCTTGTTGATGTTTTGAAATTGTTTATTAAGCTGGCTTCGTGTTTGGCCTCCATTATTTGGTATTAAAATTTTTGGAATAACATTTTTTTGGAAAATGGGTGATTGAAAAAGAATGAAACGTTTTCGATTTATGTGCAATATTATTTTATTGAAATATGTGCGGTTGAAAAGAAAAGAGAGAAAAATTATTATAATTTTAATTGGGTCAAACGGCTAATTAGGTTTGTTATAATTGGCATATAAAAATATCATGGTTGGACATGTGAAACTCGAGTTGAGTTTCTTTATTGGATGTAATTGAAATGTATCCAACAAATTTATTTGATTTTGGGTGCAAATCTAGGTCTCACTCGATTATCGAACAAGTCATAGTCGACAACACATCTCACCTTGGGTGGTAGATAATATCAAATCATACAACGCTTCATTCATTGAATTCATCTAGTCAAGAAGATAGTCTAATCTAGAGGCGTCAATCCGGGTGGTCCGGACCGGATCAGCCCACCAACATATAAGTCTAATGACTCTAATCAGACATATAAGTCCCAAAAAGTCATTGTTGATCAAATACGTCATGTACTAGATACGTGATTGTCGATCAAATATCTAATTTTGGGATGGCCTCTCTTTGGGGCACCAAGTCGTTAGTGATTAAAATTAGACCACTCTAATTTTCTTGCCATATGTGCGACTTGTCCTCTACGTCTATATATGTGACTTGTCCTCTACGTCTACCTTCTCTCATTAATACATCTTCCATACAAATCATTTTCATACATCTTAATGTAAAGTTAATGTAAACGTACCATAAAACAGCTAATATTGTTTTTCCAATTTGTCTACTCGTTTATTTTGACATCCATTAAAAGTGACAAAAAGTAATACGCGTGATTCAAGTTTCTTTTGTTTTTTACAATATATATTAAGAGACATACTTATTGCCCACTTCTTTTAAATGACCCTTTATCCTTTACTTTCCACCATTTTCTCTATGACTTGTATTCCAATTCTATCTAGAATTTGACTCTCTCTCTCTCTCCACCAATTTTATTAGCTTTTTCTTTCTTTTAGTTCAGGTTTATACTATTTCTTCTTAAAAGTTGATAAACTTGGTGAATTTCATGAAGTGTAGGGTGAAAAAGTGAATGGAAATTGTTCATCTAACAAATGAATGGTTAAAAATGGAGTTTGACAAGTTTTTTTTTTTTTTTTTTCCAAACAAGCACTTACAGAAACGATTGAAAAGAAAAACGAGGAGTTACGTAATTTTTCACTTATAGTATAAAATCGTGTCACAATATAATCGGGAGAAAAGTTTAGATCTCACTAGTATTGTTTTAATATATAGTACTCGTTATTAATAAAAAAAAATTCAAAGTTTTAACGAGATAGTTGATTATTTTGGTAATAGAACAAACAAAAGTCTTTATATCAAGGTATCACAATTTATTTATGAAAATTGTACGTGTTTTTATGCAATTCTAAAAAAATTAATAAATAACTTTTAGTTTATAGCCGAACTTAAAATTATTTTTTGAAAAATTAAATTAAGATTTATTTTCTCAAAAATATAAGTTTTGCGGTGCAACCTTTATATTTGTCTCCTAAAAATTATATTGTGTGTCAAGATTTAATTGATGAGACATTCAAGGGAACAACTAAGTTCTAAAAAAAATTGTCACCTAAAAGCTATGGGGCCAATTTTTACTTAATGAAGGGGGTAAAGATTCTCTTGCCTAATTTGCAAGACTTAAGTGGATAATTGTTGAAGAAATAATTATTATTTCAATTTTCAAATGAACAGGTAATGTAATAAAATATAGGGATAATTACAGTAAAAACTCCAAACTTTTGAAACATTAACAGAATTTTCCTAAACCTTTGATTTGTTGCAATCGTCACCCCCAACATTTCCAAATGTTGCAGTTGAAGCCCCTTTGGACAGTTTCCATCCATAATTCTGTTAGTTGACCAAAAATTTAACTTTGATCACATTTTTTATATTTTAAAAAGGGACAAAAGAATAATTTTTCATTTAACACATTCAATAATTAAATAAAACACACACACACACACACACACTTGTCATCTTTCTTTCGACCCTCACCCACCCCACCTCATACATTACCAAACTTCCACCACCTCCTCATCCTATCCTCTTCATCTTCTTCCACACTCCCACTTTCTCTCTCTAAATTCAACGACGACTTCCACATTATCCTCAATAACCCTTCGTTCATCCACTTACCATACACCCTCCGGTACTTATCCTGTGCATCCCCGATCACTTTCCCGAAACAATCAATTGAATTCCTCCAAAAAACCAAACCCTAAACTCCACGGCATCCCTGCCCCCTCGTGGCCGTAGAAGCTCCCAAGTAGGGGTGGACAAAACCTAACCGAACCCGCCAAAATCACCTAAACCGAACCAATTTGACCGGTTTGAGTCAATTTTTTTGTTGTTTTTACACGAGTTGGGTGGGTTAGTTATGAAGGCGGATTGTGTCGGGTTATGGGTTAACTCATAAAAATCGAAATAAACCGGTTCAAGCCAACCCAATTATATTTATGAATTTTACAAGTATTGTGATATTGCTTGAAAACTCTTAACATAATATTATAAGATTTGGATATAATGCATTTTACTAAAACTAGTGTAAGCAAATATACATTCAACACAAAAATATTTTAATTGCCAAAAATATTTCTTGACTTCATATAATTTAATATCAATCTGTCCATATAACATCCAGGTATAAAGTGCCAAAATAATTCAGATTTTTTGTTCATTACAACTATGGAGACCTAATATTATACAAGTCGTGAGTCAATTATAAATCCACCCAACTCGCCCTGCCTACTTTAATCTTTATTGACAAGTTGTCCTAAACCACCAACCCGACCCGACTCGACCAATACTCGATTGGGTTGGGTTGGATTGGGATTCAACATTTACATTAGTTGGGTTGAGTTAAATTATAATCAAACTGATCATGTTGAGTTGGGTTGTGTTTGGGTTGAGGTAAAAACCGATCCAACTCAACTCATGTCCACCCCTACTCCCAAGAAGGTTGTCGAGCTCGGTGACCAGATCTCAAACTTGACGTTGCTGATGCTCAGAAACTTCATCCACCTTTGAAAAGGGTAAAAATTGGCAGCAAAAAAGATGAAAGAATGGGAATCTACCGCTAGTCGGAGCCCATCATCGAAAATTTCAAAGGAGAAGAAGGAACTCGAGCATTTTTTGGGCATGAAATTGGGGAAGCTCTATGCAAATTAAAGTCGAAAGTGAATGGGATTCGAACTGTACTATTGTGAAGTGAGGAACGTGATGAAGATTAAAATTATTTGAAGACTGAATTTATATAGCCCATGTTTGGGAGGGATTTAAGTGTTTCTACAGTAAATCAATTCTCATTTTCAACGACACATTTCCCATCATATCACTATTCAGAATTAATTCTTCTCCCAAAAATCCCTCCCAAACAAGCTCATAAACTCAATACATCCCAAAAAACACTAAGACAAATTCCCATATTACTTATCATCATTCAGGAGACTACCAAATTGGCTTTTAATTACATGATTTACGGCTAGAAGTTATATCAGATGCTTGAAATGGCTGCTGTTGTTGGTTGCCAGAAACAGAAAGTTGCCGTAACTAATGCCGATTATGCTGAAGATTTTGAGAATCAAGTTGTTGGGTGTGTAGATGGTCAACCAACATTTGTATGCTTGGAAATATCCGGGTGGATTACTTCCTTTCTCATTTGCTACACCGGAAAGTGGATAAGATTCAGCCCTGTTTTCAATAAACCACCGCTTCCTAATAACAAAGAGTTCAAAATTCAGACCCCACAACCCTTTTCGGAGGTGGAGATGGAGGTGGTGGTGGCCGATGTGGATTTTAGATTTGAGGTGAGGTGAAGTGAGGTTAGGGGTGGGGTGGGATGGGTGAGGGTAAAGGTTGAGAGGAAGATGACAAGTGTCTGTGTGCGCGCACGTATTTTTTTATTTAATTATTTAATGTGATAAATGAAAAATTACTCTTTTGCCTATTTTTAAAATATTAAAAATGTGATCAAAGTTAAATTTTTTGTCAACTAACAGAATTATGGACGGACCGTTCAAAGGGGCTTCACCTGCAATATTTGAAAAGGTTATGGGTGACGTTTGCAACAAATCAAAAGTCAGGTTAACATTTTTGGGGCTTTTGCTTTTAATTCTCTTTCTTTCTCTTAAACACAATATATACATGTGCATATATATGATATGAACACAAATAATTTCAAGCAACAAGTCAAATTCAAGAAAACCAAAAATCTCTCTGAGCTCCATAGTAACAAAAGGGATGGATACGCTCCATTCTCTCTCTAAAACAACAAGCTTTATCTCTCTTCTCCTTTCCCTCCATCTACTCTATGCAGTTCATTCTGCTGCCTTCAACGTAGAAACTGTTACTTTTAATAAAGGCTTCAGCCATCTTTTTGGTGAAGGAAATACTATTCGTTCTGCTGATGATAAGACCGTTCAACTTCATCTAAATCAATACACAGGCATGCCCTACTCTCTCTCTCTCTCTCTCTGTATGTGTGTATTTTCATGTTTTGGAAGGTCTGCAGACTTCAAGTTCTGTTATGAACGCAAAGATTATGCTTATTTGATTAGACATGCAGAGACAGTTTTTTGCATATTTTTGTGATTTTTATCTCTCTAAGATTTTATATTGTGTTCTTGTACAGGCTCAGGATTCAAATCTTCAGAACTTTACAACCATGGTTTCTTCAGTGCCAAAATTAAATTGCCATCCGAATATACCGCCGGAATCGTCGTAGCGTTTTATGTACGTATTCAAGTACTCCCCCTTTTATCGCGTTTTCTAATAGTATAGTATTTGTACAATATTTTTAAATATTTCTTGTGATTTTCATGATCGTGTTATTGATCGTTAAGAAATTGGGATAAATACTGAAACTATAATCAATGTGGTATCAGAGCAAACAAAAATTTTAAGTTCAAGTCACTGCTTCTTTTTATCTAAAATTTTAGTCGCCGTGGAATATTCGCAGATGACAAACGGAGATGTATTCCGAAAAACTCACGACGAATTGGATTTCGAGTTCTTGGGAAACATAAGAGGGAAAAGATGGAGATTTCAGACGAATATGTATGGAAATGGGAGCACAAGTAGAGGAAGAGAAGAAAGATATTACCTTTGGTTTGATCCTTGTAAAGAATTCCATCGTTATAGCATACTATGGACCACAAATATTATCATGTGAGTTTTATCTCTTTTACAACTGGCTATGCCTTTTTCAATTGTCAATTGCGGCTTCATTTCACATTTGACTATTTCAATTGCTAGAGTAACAAAAACTCAAATTGAATAACGTCTGATAAAAGTCATGTAATGTAAGAAGAAAAGACACGTTATTGTGGGAACTCACATGCAACATATGACTAGAGTAGGTGGGGCCAGTGGGCCGACCCTTGTTTGGTTTGGTTCTAGTTGAAGTCGTGGCGTGGGCTGACCGTTTAGATTAGTGGATTATGACGCAGCTGATGGACGCGCATATGTTGATAGTAAGAACTTTCATTTACTCGTTTTCAGAAAAGTTAACTCAATAACCAAGAAAATTAAGAGAAAATGTAACTACTCATTGAAATTAAATAACTAGCTCGATAGTATCGCCTAAAGTTAAAAGATTTGTCTCTTGTCGTGTCCAATGATACATAACAAATATGAATTATTATTTTGGATGGTATGCCAAACATGAAATATTTGTTCCGTGAGCAAGTGATACACAACCTACAACCTAATCCACATGTCATCAAATATCATCATTTAATTTAGGGTTTTTAATAATTAAATTTCATAATATTTTGCAGATTTTATATTGATGATGTTCCAATCCGAGAGATGGTAAGAAATGATGAAATGGGTGCAGATTTCCCATCAAAACCTATGGGATTATATGCCACCATATGGGATGCATCGGATTGGGCTACTTCCGGTGGAAAATACAAAGTCAATTACAAATATGCACCGTTCGTGGCAGAGTTCACAGACTTAGCCCTCCATGGCTGCCCGGCCGATCCGCTGCAAGAGGTCGTAACCCCCGACTGTGTTTCTCGAGAAGATGGTCAACTCGCGAGTGATGACTATGCTAGTATAACCCCGAAACAAAGGAATGCAATGAAAAGATTTAGAGGAAAGTACATGTATTACTCGTATTGTTATGACACGATAAGGTACCCCGTGCCACCACCGGAGTGTGTTGTGGATTTGGCGATGAGGCAACGGTTCAAGGACACTGGACGACTGAAGTTTGATGAGAAACACCATCGGCATTCGAAGAAAAGAGGAGTGGTTATGGATGCTAGGAATAATGGGAACCAGGAGAACGTGTGATTGATATCAATATTGTTGTGGTGCATAGTATACTGTATATCGAGTTTTTTTTTCTTTTTCTTTTTTAAGATTGGATGAGGAAATTCTATTCTTGAAATATATAGTGTTGAAAATAAAAAAAAAATGGTGTCATTATTTTATATAGTACAAACCTCAACGATGAGTTCTTTCTATAGTTTTGGGTCAAAGACACATGATGAGAGATACACTTGCTCTTTGATAGTTACAAAAATGTATGAAAATAAATTGAACGCGAGTTGAGCTAGTTGGGATTGGATGTGCTTACCGTGTTCCACTTTAACTGAGCATGTTCGGTATGGCCAAAAATTTGGCACTTGATTTGTTTACCTAACTAAGACTCAAGGACCACCAAATTTAAAACCCAGCCACAATGACTTGTACACAGTTGATTTCATCATATATTTGTTGAGAGAATGTTTTGGTATGATTATAGCTTTTGCCTTTTAGTAGGTTTAGGGTACCTTTTGTTGGATTGGTCCAAATTTGGGATATGTGCACTGGCTAGTGGCTGTTTCTTCATCTTGGAGTTGTTTTCCTCTTCATTAATTTAGCAAAATTTTCAGGAAAATACGTGTGTTGACTTGTTTAAAAAATTGAACCACGAGAAGTGAGATTTATTCAAGACTTCAGCCCCTTTTTGACAACACTACTTTTGAAAAATAGAATTTTAAATAGTGATTTTTAGGATAGTGTATAATTAGAAAGTAAGAAAAAAATTGAGTTTACGTCCATAATATTTTACTGGGTGAATGTGTGGTTGAAAATAAGTATATAGGGAAAAAAATTGAATAGTCTGATTGCCAAACATGAGCTTACTTGTAGTGAAAATACGCGGAATATGATTTTCTTTATCATATTGTTTTAAACTCTCCAAATCGAAATTATTTATTATTTATTTTTATTTTTATCCAAACCAAACAGGGGCTAAATTTCACCTCAATTTCATTCGGGTTATCCAATTTCAATTGATTGCAATTAGAGTTTGAACTTCAATTTCAGTGCAAATTTCACACACGTGGCGATGTCCGCGATGTCAACACACCAAATTTCTATGTCATCAAAGTATAAAACATTAGGCATGTAAAATCAGATTTGTATCTTGCAATACACATAGATCTAAAGTATCATATAACAAAATATTGAAAACCTAAATGACAACATAATATCATAAATACTAACTTATCTCTACACTTGCTTTAGACAGCCTTGGAAAACTTTGATTGCTTATCGCGTTGCAAAGTTTAAATATTTAGATCAACGATGCTTAGGTATAAAATTATTGGAAAGTTTATGCTATATATGTATGTTCAACGACTTTTTTTTTTTTTTTTGCTGTACGCGTTTTAGCCTGAAAAATCTAATATATATAATGTATCATAAGGCTATATGACTAGCAATAGCCAAGATAACCTATAATAATTGATTTATAGCTTGATTAATTGAATTTTAATACAACATAAATTACTGACTTTATTATGAAATGAAGAATATAACACTAAAAACGGCAATGCATGTAAGAATATATTAGAGAGCAAGTGACTGATATGGTGTGTTAGGTAACTTGAGTTATGATATCCGATAAATCCTGAGCGATAATGTTACTCATTGGAATTTCTCAATCGACATTGATGAATGAATTAAATATTGACACCTTAATGAAACGGCTTGACCCGAAAACTACTTGGGGACCATTAGAAATGACCTAATTTAATTAGAGACTCTCTCATGGTCCATTTACTTAGATAGCTCTCTTTTATGTTCCGACCCCTTTACCATTTGTTGGTCTATGAGCTCATTATTAGAGCTAACTTAGAATACACCCTAAATTTATATATGATCTTATTGTTGGAAGAAGCCGTGTGTGTGTGTACAATAGTGAAAAAGAGGTGGCCGATCCTTTGTGTTTTCTCTCTTCGTGGTGGAGATAAACGAAACATTTCTTTCTCTCTTCTTGGTCACATATTGTAGCCACCCTATTTTGTTCTTTGTGGATATATTGAGTTGAGCAATCAAAATAAAACATTAGTAATGGGTTTGATCCGTTGATTTGCCATTTTTGGTAAGGTTGGGATTGGTAGACCGAGACCGAAAAAAGCCTTGGTGGAGCTATCTCTCGTAATAAATGATATCAAAGCTCATTGGTGTATGATTCCGGCAAAAAAATGATAAAGTAGAAATCGGAAACTGAACCTGTAATCTCGATTTTCGAGCAATCAAGAGGTCAGTTGGTGAAACGAAAACCATATTCGAGACGTGAAGATGGAGGCACTCCTGGGTATATGGTGTGTGACGACGACGGCGACGTGTTGGATTCTCAATCTAGGAAAGTTATTTTCGGACAATTTGTTCTTTATTGTTTTCCAGACATTTTTGTATTGTTAGTTTTCCGTTTCAAAATATACAATGAATTTGAACAAATTTTTCCCCAAGTGTTCAGGATTCGAAATTTGCTTGATTGTTTATTATAATTGCTAGAGCTTTGGGGCGAATAGTGTTGACCCTAAAGTTTAATAAATTCTCATATCTTATTATTTACGGACTGCAGATAGGTCCGCTCTAGTAAAAGGCTTATCTCATTTAAATTCTAGTGCTTGCGAGTTATCGTGTGGGAGACATTAGGATTAGGGTTACCGTATACGGTAACCATTGCTTGTACTAGAAATTTAAGAATTATTTGTTGCATTTCAAGTGTTGGGTTTAATTGCAAGTTGATTATTGATTCTATGTTTTAATTGCCATTAAATTGCTATGTGAGACTGCATTATGTGAGAAATTAAGGGGTTGTTCTCTTTATATTTCAGTTTTGTGTTTTGAATTCATTTTGGGTTTTGTGCTTTGAGTTTTCATTTTGAGATTATTGAAAATGTGTTCTTTTTGGCATTTTGAAAAATTGTTTTGAAAACACCCAAAACGCGTTTTGAAAATTTTGACTTGATTATAAGTGAAAACACTCAAAACGACAAATTTGTCATTTTGGGTTTTTTTTTGTTGTATGTTCAACGACTTTTTTTTTTATCTTGCCGTACGCGTTTTAGCCTGAAAAATCTAATATGTACAATGTATCATAAGGCTATATGACTAGCAATAGCCAAGATAACCTATAATAATCGATTTATAGCTTGATTAATTGAATTTTAATAGAACATAAATTACCGACTTTATTATGAAATGAAGAATATAACACTAAAAACGGCAATGCATGTAAGAATATATTACAGAGCAAGTGACTGATATGCTGTGTTAGGTAACTTGGGTTATGATACCCAATAAATCCTGAGCGATAATGTTACTCATTGGAATTTCTCAATCGACATTGATGAATGAATTAAATATTGACACCTTAATGAAACGGCTTGACTTGAAAACTACTTGGGGACCATTAGAAATGACCAAATTTAATTAGAGACTCTCTCATGGTCCATTTACTTAGATAGCTCTCTTTTATGTTCCGACCCCTTTACCATTTGTTGGTCTATGAGCTTATTATTAGAGCTAACTTAGAATACACCCTAAATTTATATATGATCTTATTGTTGGAAGAAGCCGTGTGTGTGTGTGTGTACAATAGTGAAAAAGAGGTAGCCGATCCTTTGTGTTTTCTCTCTTCGTGGTGGAGATAAACGAAACATTTCTCTCTCTCTTCTTGGTCACATATTGTAGCCACCCTATTTTGTTCTTTGTGGATATATTGAGTTGAGCAATCAAAATAAAACATTAGTAATGGGTTTGATCCGTTGATTTGCCGTTTTTGGTAAGGTTGGGATTGGTAGACCGAGACCGAAAAAAGCCTTGGTGGAGCTATCTCTCGTAATAAATGATATCAAAGCTCATTGGTGTATGATTCCGGCAAAAAAATGATAAAGCAGAAATCGGAAACTGAACTTGTAATCTCGATTTTCGAGCAATCAAGAGGTCAGTTGGTGAAACGAAAACCATATTCGAGACGTGAAGATGGAGGCACTCCTGGGTGTATGGTGTGTGACGACGACGGCGACGCGTTGGATTCTCAATCTAGGAAAGTTATTTTCGGACAATTTGTTCTTTATTGTTTTCCAGACATTTTTGTATTGTTAGTTTTCCGTTTCAAAATATACAATGAATTTGAACAAATTTTCCCCTAAGTGTTCAGGATTCGAAATTTGCTTGATTATTTATTATAATTGCTAGAGCTTTGGGGCGAATAGTGTTGACCCTAAAGTTTAATAAATTCTCATATCTTATTATTTACGGACTGCAGGTAGGTCCGCTCTAGTAAAAGGCTTATCTCATTTAAATTCTAGTACTTACGAGTTATCATGTGGGGGACATTAGGATTAGGGTTACCGTATGGGGTAACCATTGCTTGTACTAGAAATTTAAGAATTATTTGTTGCATTTGAAGTGTTGGGTTTAATTGCAAGTTGATTATTGATTCTACGTTTTAATTGCCATTAAATTGCTATGTGAGACTGCATTATGTGACAAACTAAGAGGCTGTTCTCTTTATATTTCAGTTTTGTGTTTTGAATTCATTTTGGGTTTTGTGCTTTGAGTTTTCATTTTGAGATTATTGAAAATGTATTCTTTTTGGCATTTTGAAAAATTATTTTGAAACACCCAAAACGCGTTTTGCAAATTTTGATCTGATTATAACTGAAAACACCCAAAATTGTCGTTTTGGTTTTTTTTTTTTTTTTTTTAATTTTTAACTTGTTTTCAAAAACGTGTTTTCAAAAATGGGAAAGAGAACACATTTTCACTGTTTTGAAAAATCAAAACACAGAAAATGGTTTGAAAATTGTAAAGGGAACATACCCTAAATTTTTGTTGACACACCTTTGTATTGCACTGATTATTTTGTTACAACACCAGACTTGATCCTTTTGAGCATTCCTTTGATACTGAGATCTCGAATCTCATGAAACCCTGGAATCTAGAATGGTGTATATTATGGGCTTAGGATTATATTGTATGACCTATTCGCACTTTTTTTATTGTTT